TGTTTCATGTGTTTGGCACCAATGGTATGTTTTGCCACGTTTGATGACGAGCGATTACGCGATTACTTGTATTTGTGCCCTCTGACAACGGTTGCAATTCTACATTCTTTATGTGATTTTGCTTTGAGTCTTGCAAGAACCACTATAAATTAAAACACAATACTTGAGCAGTTGAAAAGTTACTATGACAGTTACTTTTATAACATTTTTAATGTCGGTGGCGTACGTTTATTTTTGTAATACATATTACTAGGAAGACGAGGTTTTAACATGGCGAGATGCATGTAAAGGTTGGCATCCAAAAAGTGGTTATCATAATAAAATAAAGGTAACAGCAAAATACAAAATTGAAGTTGCAACTGAATCCGTCCTATACAGGAGACAGTTATACACTTTTAAGAAATTTAGAAGATTAATATGATAGATACATAATCAGAGAGATTTTACTTAGTATAGTGTTAATGGATGGTTTTAAACCCCACTCGTTCTTTGGAGACGGGATTTTCTTCCCGAAAAGCTTCATATTCTGGTAAAATGAGGTAGTATATTAAAAAAAACTAGCATGCTTTCAAACAAGCACACAGTGTCTTTATCTTCCTAGATGTCAAATGTCTATTGTGTCACATTTCTATTCCTGTCTTTGTGAATTCCTCGAGTCTTCCAGAATATCAATCTTACTCTCTTTGCACAACTGCCGGCAACATCGTGGAGTACTTTTAAAACAGCCAACTCCTGCTCACATTTAGGTAGTTTGCTGCAGACATTTTGAAAGGCCCTGCTGTAAATGGAGCTGTTATAATTTGTTTTTAGATTGATATGTTGATAGAAGGCGCGTGAGCTGGTTATAGTGCGCTACTTCAATAGGCTAAGAAAGCGGTTCCAGGCCCTTACCAGGACCATTCCTTGCAAGCCAGCGATATATATATATATATATTTTCTGGGGCGTGCAAAGCTAATCTCACGCGAATCACCACGTGAAACTTTCATACAATCGCTTCACTTGTTTGAATGACTACTATCCCTATCCATCTGTCTGTAAAGCTGTATTCCAGGTGGTCTCCGCTAAAACAACACATCAGTTGTTTCAAATTCTTTGATTCCCGTATCCCCAGCTGTCTTTCTGCCGGGCAGTTCTATGCTACAGGTATTGGGCGCTGTTTAAACTTCTAGCCGTCAGCTTCAGCGTTAACTTTGAACTCTACCATTTACTCATTAATAGCAAGCATAAATATGACATAATTGACCACAAGCCTACGCATTTAATGTGCATTGCTCCTTAGTTCAGATATAGATCACTCGTAACTTCCTTTCAAGTTGATATCATATTTCTTCGGCACACAGACCTCTTCGTCGGACAATACGGAACTTTGAGCTACATTACTCTTGTCTTCATCCTGTTTAATAAACACCGCATTGCTGGAATCCGTGGAAGGTCCTTCGTCGAAGTAATTAAACGGCTGAAGAAAAAACCTCGCCGTGTTTGCAGCCGAAGCAACGTTCGGGACGTCTTCGGAACTCGGAATTTCTATACAGCCAATAGAAACCCAAGCGACGAGATCTACGTTGGTGATACGATCATTTGCACTTTGGAAGAAACTTTCGAAGTCGACAACTGGTTGGGTTGGACTGTTCTGGTTGTAAAGTGAACTACTTCTTAGCTCAGTTTCTTTGTATCTCGTGACAACGAGTGGATAAACCGACCACGGAGCCATCTTTGTGATGAAATAGTTCTCTGGAAGTAATTGCTTGACCGCTGACAGGGGTTGAATAAGATATCCTCTCTTTGAGTCAAACTTGTTTTTGTTATCGCTATAGACGTTGAAGAAGGTCGGCTTGTCAAAATCGATCTTTTTCACTTCCGCTGAGTCAGTCTCAAGTCGCATTACTTGAGACCGAAGAACTTTTAAAATTCTTCTTTCCGGTGGGAGCCAATCATTTGCTGTATCTTGGGTGCTAATTTCAATCTTTTCAATCGAATTCGACCTGCCGTCGACGTCGAGATCAACTTTATAATGAAAGATTTGGTCGTGCAAATTTCCAAGCAGCTTTGTGTGAATTTCGTGTCCGAACAAGTCATCCTCCACTTCAGGCCTGTCATTTTCAGATTGCACATAGCCGGTCGGAGTTGATTTGACTTCTATGGCTCCACTTTGATAAAACACGAAGTCAAAGATGTTATCGTAATTGCGAACGGTAATGATCGTGCGCAGAACTAACACACGACTGGCTAAACCTTCATAAAACTTGTACCCTGTACCGTTGGTTTCAAAATGGCGTCTTAGGGGAATGCCGCTGTCCATTTCAAACACGCACACCGCATTCTTGATCACTTGTGGCTGGTCTGTATCCACGAAATGCACAACATCAAAAAATTTAGACGTTTCGGGACAGTCAACTCCGCCAACCAGTTCGAAAGTTTTCGTTCCCATTGCCCATCCGCCATAAACGAAGTTAGCGGCCATAAAGTACGGAGAAAAGCCAGAGTAGAACGATATCGCCTCCTGAAGACTAAGTTCGTAGATGATTCTTTTGTCTTTGAATCGAATGTCGAAGAGTTGAGGACCTGAAACCGAATCCATCCGAAAATCGAAGCTCCATTGCATGTACTTGATGTGGCGACCGCTGACGCTGAATCTCTTTCCATCGGGCTCAAACATCCTGGGGCTGCGCCTTGCCTTCTGCGATAGGGGGATTCCACTGGGGTCGTATGACGAAAACAACGGTGTTTTTGGCGCGGGAATAAAGGATTTTGAAATGGCGTTCAGCTTATTGTATTGAAAGAGGAGGTCATCGACGGTGTTGAATGTTTGTCCGTTGTAGTAAACCTTGTTTATTTTCCATTTGGAGACGTCAGAACCAGGGAAATCTATGTACAGTTGAAAATCGACTGGGTTCAGTGATCCGCCTTCGAGATCGCGCGTGAATTGAAGCCAGGTCGTTCGTTCGTCTCTTGTTTTTCCAAACGGTCCCTGCGGGTGAAATTTCAAGAGCTTGTTTGTGCAGTTGTGGTAGCAGAAACCATCGTAGCTTTCGTTTAAAAGGCGAAAAGCCTTTGTTGTGGCTTCTAACACGATCTTAGTTAGGGCCTTACGTTGTACTTGATCGTAAGGACGCACGTTAAAAAGGATGGGGTTGCCATTGCGTTTCTCGTATGTCATCTCCCCACTGTTGTTTGGCCATGTAACAATGTATTCCTGAACAAAGGGAGGACTGCCTTCACCCTCAAAAATAACAACAAGTGCCTTCCTTGCGGGTTTCGCCTTGTCTTCTTCTAAATAGTCCAAGACCGCTGCTTTTTCGGGAGGGTGTAGCTGTATCATGTAGATGTAATTGTCTTTAACGGAAGCGTTTTCAATTCTCTTTAGCTTCAGTGAGGATTGTTTTAGCATGAAATCCCTCGCGGCGATTAACTCTTCGCTTGTGAGGTCATTAAAAATACCCTTCGTTTTCGGTGGTTCTCCCTCGTTGAGAATACCCTCTGCACACGTGTTGCTTTCAGTATCGCTCGGATATTTGTCTCTGTACTGGGAGAAAACGACAGCGACCACGATGAGTGCTATTAGCAGCCCAACGCAGAGAAGGAATAGAATAGCGACAGCGATTTTCCATTTGATGGGAACGACCACGCTTCCTTTTCCATTCATGTCGACCGAGAAAAAACGATCAGCTTATGCCATGATAAGTATCTGACTGAATAAACACCCGAGACGGGCGATAACTGGCGGGTAGGAATCAGGTCGATTTGGCCCTTTCCACACCTTGGAACTCAACGGTGTAAACAAGCTTGATTTGGTTGATTAAGGCATGCAAGAATTTCTGTCAACGAATCGGTGTTTAAATATTCATAGAATTGTCGCGTGTCGCCTTTTTCATGTTTTTCTTTAGATGACCATCTGTCACGTAGCATTTGTTGAAACTGTTTTGCATTTCGTCAAGGAAACAGAGATTCGACTACTTTGGATTATCTTCAGGCTTTCGTTTAGAGCCATGAAGGTGTTTATAAGAAAATAGGAAGAGAAAAGAAACTGAAACGGGAAGAACCTGCACAGATTTTCTGTCCGCTGATTATATTATGCAGAAAAGCATGCGGAAAAACACTGTACATGTAAATATTGTTTCATGGTTTTTCTGTTGTCGCGAATAATTATTTTCATTTAGACAAAAGGTTTTTAGGACCAAACAGGTTTAACACCGAAGCTCCCTTAACCAGTGACAAATATTGGATATTGATATTCACTCCTGTTTGAATGATAGGAAATACTGAATGATAGAACATTCGTTTAAATTCAGTGAGATCGATGTATGTTAGATACCCAGCATACCTGTCAACCAAGCAAAATATTAATCAATATTCATCGAATTTATTGCTTTGCAGTCTTGTTGACGTCGAAAACACATTAACAAAAGGCTACACAAAGGTCGCAATCGTTCTCTTATACACAAATTTCAAGTTAAATTCGTTCTAATTACCGTTATTTAAGGGGAGTTGAGTTCCCTCGTAGATATCTATTGGTGTAGTTTTGATGTAGCTAAGATACAAAACGTGTTTCGGTGGCTTGCGAAATGTTTTATATTTTTCCTATGTATTTGAACAAAAACATGGCAACCGTTCATAAATTAAAATAAAAGAGGTCTTGATAAATTTACAGACACAAGTTTTGTATGGGAATAAAAACCGGTCAAACGGGTATTTTTGAAGGGGTTTTCTCAAGAGAAATTGACATCAACAACGACACGTCTTTTTTTTCCAGTGCTAGTTAATTTGTTCAAGATAAATTAAACAATATGATGCCTTCGGCTATTGCTGATATATAACATGGGATCTGCAATAACTTTGTTAGATCAAATAGTTATTTAGCTTTCACCTGACAGGCGTCAACCTCCCAGTCACTGAGGTCTGACTGAATAACATTGATAACAGGGAAGATACATGTTTAGAAACATTGTTTTTGTTATTCAAATTTTCAGATCATGACATGGCAAAAGAACTCTTTGTTTCAGCTGCCAGTAGTTATCTGGTTGACACAATAATAACAACGCATGGGTGGCGTCACCGATATATCCCAGATCCACGCATGGCGTCTTAGCTTACGGGGACTCGTGTCGAGGTTAATTAAGAGACCAGCGAGGGCATTGGGACGCGAGCATCGTGTTAAACGACTGCAACTGACGAGAATATACCCTTGGCTACGTATCGGGCGGATTGAACAACGGCCGCTTAGCACTGATTAGAAGAATGTTTTACTCTCAATTTAGCCTGCGAACAGGCTCCCGGCGAGGACGGAAAAAAAAATTCGGCGAGCAAAGCGAGCGGACGAGCGCGAAACTGAAGAATTTGGAGAGCGAAGCGATCGGGGCGTTCGAGCTCGTTTCGTTCGGGCTCGCTGGGAGAGTAGCCAGGCTCCCGGTTTACAATGAGTCACATGTTCAAGTCACCAGTGTAAGGCCTACTTGCAACAGAACACAATGAGAGGGATGCGAAATGATTTACGTATTTATTCAGATCAAACTCTCATCTTCCTAGTAAGAAGCTAATTGCCAGAAACCGTAATATCTGGCCGAATAATATGAATATATTTATGATTGCCCCAGCAACAAATGTGTGAAATGAACGTGAAAGAAAATTAAATGCAATGAGAGTAGCCCTGGTCTACTCTCACTTCATAAACTTTGCGAGTACCTAGAGGGTATTCCAAGCAATCGTCTTTATTGCTTTTAAATATGATGAAAGTGTAGGTTTTTTTTTAGGACTGGTACCTTAAGGGTTGAAAACAATTTAAAGCCACGGCCACAAAACAGGATCTTGGTACCTCTTAGGAGTTCTTTTCAAAATTTCCTACGAGCACCCCCGTCATTTTATATACGCGAGTTCCCCCCCCCCTCCCCCCACCTGCACCAGGTCATTTTGGTCTCACAGTCCTTTATGTTTTATAGAAAAGTGTCAGGAGTCATGTGCTCCTGAAAGTAGTTAGTTTCTAACTCAAGATATTGCTGGTTGTCTTCATAAAGGGCTGGTTAACGCTTGAAACCGCTACTGTACTTACCTGGTTTAATCTTCCAAGTGTCTCACTTTAAAACCCCTCTTCTTCAGCTGTTTATAACACAGCACTGACGGACGAAATCGTAGACGAAACTTTCCTTTTTTTATAATGAATTCAAGTGGACAGTTACGGCTGTCGAAGTGTAACTGAATAAGGCGAAAGCGTTGAAAAATGCGGTGGACTAAATTTTTTGCGGGGGAATTTTTATTCTTAAATTCTCCACCCAAAAAGCCTTAAAGGAGCTACTTCACGGTTTCCGCATCTTGAAAAGCTTAGCCTGACATAAATTTTTCAAGTTCGTCGTTTGTAATCTGGGTTAATCTGCTTCATACTTAACCATCCTCGTTCCTTAATGGTTTATTATTATATCTTTGGTGTTTTACTATCTTAGTAAACTACTATTTTCAGGTTTCCCTCAATTTAAAGGCAATTTTATACGTGGCCAAAATAACTCAAAATAACATGACTGAGCTCCTTTAATACAAAGACAACATGATCAGTTAGAAAGTTTAAAACAAGTTCTAGACAAAGTATTGTCTTTCATAAAAAAAGTATTGTCTTTCATACACGAAGCCTGAAAACTTATATATTTTATTCAGGGACGCCAAACAGCCGGTGTCAGCTCGTCAAATCAAAACAAACAAGCTCAGTTTTTACTAGCTAATGCACCAACCAACAGCTGTTGCAGCTGGGGTAAAACACAAAGCGAGCAACACAAAGAGAGGATAGCCGCTTGAGAGATATTTAGTTCAGTATCTGTTAAGTGCTTTTCAGACATCCTGTCGAGAACAATACACACTTGAAGGTATTTCGCTATGAACACCTAATCTTTACCCTCTTGAGAGTCATTGGCAACGTCCATAAAAATATAACAACTGAATCGGTTTTAAATTTGATGCTCATTAACAAACGTTTAATGATTCGTAGACTACATTGCTGCCGACTAGATGCCGCATTTTAACACCTCCATAAACGCTTTTCTCAATTTCCTGTTTCTTATTCCGTATATGAACGGTCCGACCACACTGTCCAGAAAAATCAAGTAAATTCCCGCCATTCGAAGATTTCTTGGCGGGAAAACGCCAGCCGCGTCCATGCTGTCCATGACGAAACATGGCAGCCAACAGAAACAAAACACAAGCACGATAAGCGAGATGGTTCGCGTTATATGAATATCATCTCCGCGAATCTCTTTAGTTTGTAATTGTTGCTTACTTTCCATCGTTTGTTCTGTTGTAATCTTGCTACAGCAGACAACTTGTGAATCGGCATAATGAAGTTGTCGAAGATGATCTTCTTCACGTTTGTTTACAGCGTTAAAGTCTGTAGGCTTTTCCTCCATAGGGGTACAGTCTCGGTGTTTTTCTGAAACGAAAATAATTCTCACAGCGCTAACGCCACAGTTGTTATTGCTAGGTCCTAACTGTTCTTTTGTCCAACACTTTTTATGTTTTTGAGCGCCAAGTGAATTGAAGACATTGAACGTTTTATTGCCAAGATTTTTGTCTGTATCATGTTCAACCTCGCCGCCATGGATTTTCTTCGCTAATGTAAGGTTACTCTGAGAAAATTCCTGCTTAACAGCGATTTTTCTCCGATGGGCGTTCACCGTCTTCACAATTTTTACGTTGCAAAAAACCACGGTGATAATATCAATTAGCATGAATGTATTGGCAGTGATTTTGAAGGAATAGCTCGTATTGTCTGTGTGACATAAGGCCGTTCGCGGATTAAAACTGTAACGTCCCCATCCAAACAAAGGTGGACTGCAACTAACAACGCAGCAGATCCAAATACAACAGATTATTTTCCGCACAAGTTTCTTGTCAAATAATCTTCGGTATTTGTTGGGAGACCAGATCAACATGTAACGACTTACACTTATCGCGGTCAGTGTGAATAAAGTAAGGGCGAACAAAAGATAGTTTTGATATCCTTGAATTACACAAAATGCTGCGCTAAATGTCCAGTGTCCCTTTTCAAGAGTCCACACAAACACAGGTAGAACTGTGACAGCCAGGAGAAAGTTTCCCACTGATAAATTCAAGACAAATATGTTGGGTATGGTTCGCAGTTGTTTCTTCTTGTACATGGCCAACATCATTAAGAAATTTCCAAGCGCGGCCAAAACAAGAATCAGAGACGCAAATCCCACTTCGAAAACAACTTGCGCAGTGGTTCTGTCGTCCAACGGAGGGAAGATGCTCCTTAATTTTAACGGCTTTGCGGTGTTATTCATGGCGACTGGCACGTTATTACTCGTAGTTCATCAGTACATCTGACTCACAGCAGTTTTAGCTCTTTTAATTAAAGTTGCCGAGAACAATAGACTAAAGCTTAAGACAAGTATTGTTTGGAACAGTCGCGACCAATGGGAAATTTCTTCCCTGTAGTAAACACATACGGAAGTAGATGCGTGTCTTAGTTAGACGTCATAAATATTAACATTTTAAGTGACTGCGAGATTCAAAACCTATTGAAAAACAAGATTTAAGTTTTTGCTGAATAATAGAGCTGCAGCTAGAAATAGAAGCCTGAGGGAAATAATCTTATGAGGTGTCCAACAACCACATTTTCATTCAACTGCATTTAATATTTGATATAGTTAAATTCAATTCTCAATCTGTCGAAGGATCGTCAATAATAAAAGTGACAATACCGAATTTTGTATATTTTAACGCACAAAAACTTATTAGGGTTAGTCAACGAGACAGGATGCTACCGTAACAACTGCCTGGCGTTTCCAAGAGATTCTTTCGAATTTCCGCGCCCTTAAATGTCCTGAATGACAAAGCTCACCCAATTTTTAGATCCCTAAACGCAGTCGTAAATTTTGAGGACCAAAACTCTCAGTGTATACATAAGGGACTTTTAAGTTCCTTCCTTGCAAAACCATTTCGTGATGAAAATGGAAACATGCAAAAAAAAAAAAAAAAAAAACAGATTACATTTCGCTCATCAATAGCGCGAATAACATAATGTTATTTATCATACGAGTACATGCCACAATCAAGCACTTGAGTTGTATTTGCACAGGAGCACCTTCCGTTCGTCTTTTAAAGATTTACATATTTTCTCGCCACAAAATAAAGCTGGATGCAGATGCTGTCTAGAAATACCTACTTTGTTTTCTCTTCAGGCAAAAAGTGTTGAAAAATTACAAGTTTATCAGTTCAGGAAAGAGATAATTTATATTTTTTTAACCTGCGTTTTCCAAATCAAACTTTGCTCTAGTCCTTCCCAGTTTGTGGGAGCCCACTTATTTACAACGGAAGGATTTTTCCTCGCAGATTTAAGGGATTATGTTTCGCAGTTTCTTTGTTTTTCAGCTTTTCTTGGTAAGCCTTCCATATTTTACTAATTGCACTCTCTTTTAACGTCCCTAATCTACAAATGACAGGCAAAAAATCTTACAGCTTAACACTATGAACCATTTGTTCCTTGGCAAATTTAATCTTAAGGACATGAACCAGTTAAGAGATTATAACAATTAAACGACCAAGAGACTCTTAAGTCCTCTTCGCTACCTCAGGATGCTCTTGATGTTCCTGAGCTTCTTAACTCAGAAAAAAATTCTAAAAATAAGTACAAAGATTACGCCTACTCTGGCCACTCACGCACTCTAGAGTCAAGAGGTACATGCCAAGAAAACATTACTTGGAAAGCAATTTTACGAAGGTGTGTTGTTTCGCGTTAGCCGGTTTTAAAATGAGATTTTGTGACATTTTGAAACAGGTAACAACGCTTACGCTTGGGTTCTCTTCGACCGAGGCAGAAACTTGTTGGTCACTTGTTGATCGATAAATCTTTTTCACTTTGAAAGTTCCGTGTTCCCGTGAAGCTTGGAATTCGAACGTATGACGTAAAGTTCAAACAAAAGAAAACAACAAAAAAAAAAGCTTAATTACTTTTAGCACGGCCTTAACGCTTTGCAGTACCATTATCAAGAGATCTTTTTGTTTTACATTTTAAGTTAATATCACCTGAGTTACAAGATGGCAAATGTATTCCACCACTTAAATTACCAATCATAAAAGCGTTTGAGAATATTAAGAAATGAATTCGTCTGTAATTATATTCTTGTTAAAGAAATCGGAAGCACAATCAGATAACACTCCTTCGAGTACTTTATCATGGTCTATTTTCACCCAGCCTTTTCGTGCCAAGTTTCACAAATAAGGCCTCAAGCACTTCAGCTGAAAAAAATACTCCCCAAGTTAATGTATCTTTTGTTCATGTCTTTTTTCAAGAAAGCGAAACGAAACTGGGATATGATTGAATATTTTTCGGTATACATGACCTCATTGTTTTTATTTCCAAAACGAGTAATTTACTACTCTAGTATAGCAGCATGGAAACCTTCCGTTTAAAGGTAACCTGTGTCATTTCTAACAAGATATCGGCAATGGACTCCAACATATATGAAGCATAATGACTGTCTTTCTCAACATACGAGTAGCCGGTCCTATTTTACGCGGCGTTGGGAGAGAGGGAAATTAACAACAACTGATGGCAGTGTAGATCCACTTTAAAATACCACATAGAAGTATAGTGAGCAAAGCATTTTATTAGAGTGCGTGTATTAACTGTAGTGCTCGATATAAACTGCTTCAATTCTATGAAATTTTTTCTCGAAAAAAAAAAAAAAAACTATAAAGGAAGCCGGAACGAGAGGTGTTTACTTAAACTTTAAAATAAATTGACTTCGCAAAGTACATTTGTCAAGATAGAAATATATTAATTTCATGCGTGCGGCCACGCTAGTTACTAAGCAACAAATGTTTAATTTCCAATTCAGCTTTTGTCGCTCGTTATGTTGCCATAAGAAATAGACCAATTTCGATATGTTAAAATTCAGCCTAACATAATAGACCTCAGAACGAGGCTCTGGGGAATAAACCCCACAAACTCTGTAGTTATTCCCCAGAGCCTCGTACTGAGGTCTATTGTTTTAGGCTGAATTTTAATATATCGAAATTGGTCTATTATCTGATGCCGACGTCCCCTAACAAGCCAGAAGCCCAAAACACGCTCTTAACTTTAAATATTGCTGACGATCGCTGGAGGTCCTCCAGGTCTATTTCTCGTTTCCTTGGAAGTGAAAACCATGTCCACGACGTCATATTACACATCGAATAGTATAATCTAATTTCAGCTTCGTTTCGCTTTCCTGTTGTAGGCAGCTGATATGCTCGACTAAGTTTATCTGAATGTCCTTTCAATTCCGTGAGTTTTATTTTAAGGGATCAAGAAAAGCGAAGCGAATACAATCTCAGAACAAATCATGAAGGCACGTGTTTTTTGGAAAACGGAAGCCTTGTATACGGCTGGTGCGCCGGAAATTATCATTGACCAATCAGGATTCAGCAGGCAGGATACATTGTACTGTCCTGACGTGAAATGCGTGTTAACAGGAAAGGCATTGAGGTCGGGCAACTTTTCTCACTGAAGGCGGCATCTCAGACTGTAAAAAGCGAAAAATATGAAACATTTTGCTTCTCCAAGCTTTTAATTTGGCGCCAAAAAATGGGTCACCCGCGCCCGGCAACTTGCTCGTCGCTCGTCGATTGTCACCGGGTAGGACAATCATAGTACTCTCAAGTTTGTCAAATTAAACCCTGAATTCTTGGGTTAAGTGTTAGGAGAGGCCAAAGCAACTTTAGCATTACCTTTGTTCTTGTTAGCTGCGAAGAAAAAGACTATTCTCGTGTCGTTACGGCAGGACAGCTCGGTTTTGACTGCCACTCGTCTTGCGGGCGTAGCCACCGTCTGTGAGGAGAACTTGATGCTACTTTGCACGAAGTCTGGATAGCTGAGGGTGAATGAATAAAAACCTAAATTGCAGTTCTCCGTACCCTTCTCAGTTCACACTTCATCTCGTGAAATCCCTATTCTTTTACTAGTATACACTTCTAGCTTGACAAACCTACCCTTTTTCAGGTGGAGCGTCACTATGGAGTCCGTTATACAACTACAACAACAACAACAACAACAACAACAACAACAAGCTTTATTTGCAAACAATGTCGCAAAAGCTTTTGTAAACTAAAACTAAAACAGTAATGATTATCGTGGACATATAATAAGGTTATGATATAGCAATGATATAACAATCAAGTTACATCGAGTTGAAAGAAATCTATTACATAGATCAAAGCAAGATGAAATGGATTTTGCTAATTGAATATTAACATAATGATTTGCAGAAGTCATAAGTTCCCCGGTGGCAATGGAGATAATTGCTTAAAATTCGGAACAATAATAGAGTATTTAATGCAATACACAAGGAAGTGAGATTCATCTTCAATTTGATTGGATCATTCACAAATATGGCAGAGTTGTTACTGAGGGAGTACCTCTACCCTTGGATGTCTGGCAGTTTTTTCGTTTTGCGGATGATGCAATCACAACAATCGTCAAACAAAGACCAAAAAAGCTAGGTTCAAAAGACAACAAACAATACCCACTAGTCCACTCCATTAATCAACATCAAGATATGTCTTCCTCGGTACCCGCCCGAACACAGGCCTAACCTGCCCTTACTGTAATCCTTTTGACCTTGGTTGTCTGTGGAAATATCCTCCTGTGTTTCGCAAGGTACAACAACATGAAACCATTCCTGACGCCTTTTTCCTAATCCTAGCAGTGTCTAATCTAGTCAAAATGCCACAAAATTGATATTTGCCGCGTAGCTCTCAAAATAAATGCAAAAAAAACGTCGAGAAATTGTTATAAATACTGTGATGTCAGTATCCCTTTTTAAAAGCACTCTAACATATTTCTCAATTTTTTCTGTAATTTTATTCAAATGCAAATATTTGTTATAACGTTGAACACAATCTTCTAAGATTAAGAATTGCTGAAAAACAGTTTCTCTTTCCCATCTGAGTTAGAGAATATCTTTGTTATTTTTTTTATTTCTTTTTTTAATTTCTTGTGGGAAATATGTGTAAAATGTTATAGTTCTCTTTGTTCCCTCGATCAGAATGCCGGAACACAGCTGGTGCTGGTTTTTTTTAAAGTTCTTCTGACAGTTTTAGAAATACAATGTTATGTGCATGCATTCTTATGGGGTTTCTCTGATAGTCTGTTATATCATATTATAAAATATTTACAGGTGATTTATTGCCTGGGAAAGTCTTTCAATTTCGCTAAAACGTGTTTGCAAAGCCTTCTTGTGGTCAAAAATACAAATTTAATGTTGTATTCATTGTGTGTATCACTGCGATAGATGATTAATCATGTCTTCATATCTTTCTCCGCAGTTTAAATATAATATCTTTTATCTATTCACTTGTATCTTCATTATCTACGGGTGTATTACGAACTCACAAAGTGACCAGCTCCCAGTTGGCTTGATAGCTCAGTTGGAAGAGCACTGCACCGGTATCGCAGAGGTCATGGGTTCGAATCCCGTTCAAGCCTGAATTTTGTGTAAAGTTTGTGTTTTTAACTGCGACGATCAATCATGTCTTCATATCTTTCTCCGTAGTTCAAATATATGATGTTTCATCTTTTCACTTGTTTAATTACTTTGATGAAATGATAGTCTCTTAATCAGCAGTTTCAATTACGTTTAAAAGATGTGCTTTCAGTGGCTCTAGACTTGAGGTTAGCACAGGTTACCATAACAACATCGTTCCTCTTATTCAACAGTTGTCCGATTCTTGATGTCTTCAGTCCAGATGAAATAATCGCTTCAACATGTTTCGTATTTCTCTGTTTCTCATGCCATAGACAGTTGGATTGATGACCAGATCAAGGAACATCATGTAAACGCCAAACATGCGCACTTCGCGAGTCACGTGCACCCCACGTGACACAAGAATGTCCAGGATCGCATTTGGGACCCAGCACAAGCAGAAAAGGACCACTATGACCGACACTGTACGAGCGATATGCACGTCCTCCCCTCTCAGCTCCTGTGGGTCCCTTATAGCTCCGCAAAGTCCCTCATGTGCAAGTTGTAAGGGGCCTTCGTTCTGAGGAGGTTTTCTTTCTGTGACGATTCGTCTCCTGTGGTGACGAACTACTTGGGCGATTTTGACGTGGCAGGCAATTATCATGAAGATGCAACAGGAAACAATAACTGAGCTCATGATACGAAATGAGCTTTGAGCGTTTTCCGAAATGGAGCATAGCGACTTCAGCGGAATAAACTGGTATTTGCCCCATCCTAAGAAAGGACCACTGCACAGGGTGATTGCTAAGCACCAAATGAACACAATCACGAAGATCACAGACTTTCTGAAGAAGACGTTTCCGTAGCGGTTTGGCTTGACTATCTTAAAATAGCGATTGACGCCGATCACAGTTAGCGTGAAAAGATTCATGCTAAACAAAGCGATGTCAAGAAAAGCGCAAAAGTGGCAGAACCTTTCTCCAAGACTCCACTCTCCTCTGACTATTGTATCGACGAGAATGGGAAGTTGTGACAGCGTCAGCAATAAGTTGGACACTGCGAGGTTCAAGAAAAAGGCATTAGGAATGGTGCGAAGGTTGCGTTTCTTGTAGATTGCGAAACACAGGAGAAGATTGCCCCACACAGCAAAGATGAAGAGGAGGGCCGTTATGGTGACTTCTATGGCGGTTTGTCCCTTTGATCGGTTGGGAACTGAGAAAGATAAAATCTCCATAAATGCGAATAGGATCAACCGCTAAAAAATATAGATTACATGTACGCACCGCTCTGGCTTGAAAGGTTGAACACAAAGTGCTATTCTGAGGCAGGTGAGGGGGAAGCTAGTTCATAAAAACAGTGTACTTATACTGACAGTTCTTTGACATCCAAGAAGCGTTTTATTTATCCATAGTTAATGAAACGGATAAAATTACTATTAGCTTTTGTGTGGACTGTAGGAGGTAGCTGACTACCGAGCCCGGGTTACAAGACAAGATGCTGCTGAGGCCAGCAACGCAAGAAAGTGGACTGATTTATCGCGAAGCGAGAGTCACCCTGTTCTAAAGAAGAGAAAGTAGCTTGACACCCAACGTTCGGTTTGTACCAGCGACTATCGGGCACCTGCAGAATTATTTATTCATGTGCGTGTCTTGGGTGATTTTTACTTGTTTGTTCGGACCCGTACGTCAATGGGCCAATTTCGGACTTGGCTCCCAGGCTTAATAATTAACAAATAAAGAAGCCTCAGCTGTGCTCTGTTCTGTTGTAAAGCACGCAGGAAGCGGTAGAGCACGAAACAAGTGTAGGGGAAAACACGAGACGTAAGCGAGTGTTTTTCCCTACTTCTTGAAAGGAGCTACAGTTATTTACGGCTTGTAGCCGCTTGCAGCAAGGGTGCCCTAACTAGCGTAAAAGTTTAAGACTACACTGCTCCCACTGATTCTACTCCGACCACAGAAGAGAATATCAGAGCAAGCTTTGACCTGACCACTCGTCGGTTCACTTCGCTGAGATGACCGGAAAACGAGCGTTACTACACTGCATGTAAGTGTTGTTTGAGCAATTGAGCACTTTTACAAAAATAACGCTTCTCATCATAAACAAAGACAGTTCAATTGTTGTTTTCTGTCATTGCTTTACTTCTTAAGTATAATTTCTGTCTTCGTAACAAATATAATGTCTTTTATCGAAGCACTATTTAGGTTGAGAATTTGTTTATTTCGCTACGTGTTTTGTCGGCGGGAATCTAGCAAAACTTGTTATTTTAGTACAGTTTTAACACTACTGTTGCTAACAATGGTCTCCGTGAGCCATATCTACTGCAGACAAATAGCTCGTTTCCATTGCGCTTGTCTGAGTCACAGTGGATAATTAATTTGGGTCAAATTTTTCAAAATTCCGAAGCAAAAATTTGAAAGTCAACTTACTGTCATCAACCCGTGCTCTGTTCTATGATAAAGCACACTGCTTCAGCCATTCAGAACGCGCGTTATATGGAAACTTTCTTTTTTTTTTTTATTATTTTATTTTTTTTTGGAAACTTTATTATAAAACAAAATAAGTTATTATTCGTCCCTCAACTTCGATGCGATTACTTTCGCGAGTTTTTGCTTTCCGGTTGCGGTTTTAGATTTTCTGTGGTTTTTTAGTCAACAAAGATGAAAACTTTGCCCAAGTGCGACCCATGCCTTTGTTGCAAGGCTTAGTATAAGTAATAAATCTGTCAACAAGTAACGTAAAATAAGTGCGACCCCCAGTTCCAAATTTTTGCGGATTGCCAAAATTTCGCCAATCTTCAAAGAAGCCGAAGTTTGGAGGCTTCCAAATTTTGGCAAAGAAAACAATTTTGTTTTTCTAACCATTAAACTGTCATATTTCTTAAAACATGTCTGGATAAAGTTATGGCGACAAAGTAATTTTGGTCGGCTAGTCCAGTTTGGTGCGTACGATGGCTGGACAAAATTATTTTTTTATCCGGTCTATCTGACCCTTTTCACAGTTATTCATAGAGGGAAACGAGGAAAATGAGAGGCGCTATTATTTAAATGTTTTTGACTCGTTTCCTCGATCTGGTTACTGGCAGCAATATCGAGAACAAATGGCTTCAGAGAGACAAGTCTCCTTCGATCGCAAATGGAAGCCAGGGAGCGGAAAAGAAAAGCCGAGGCAAACAAACCATTCTTCCATAATTTACGCCCTAGACGTTTCGTTTTCTCTTGCGAAGAACGCATTTAGATGAGTTTGTGCCTAACGAATATGTCAGTTAGCCAAGTTTATGGCTAAAGCATGTTGGTTTGATGCGACCACTGCCGAAAGTTGGAACTTGCGAAAATTTTGCCAATTTTTTCCTCGTCAAAAATTTGAAAATATTTGAATTCGCTCTAGTGCGACCTGGCCCTAACTCTTCCGAAGAATTTTAAAAATCATCCAAAGACTTACGAACGCTTCGAAGATCACCAGAACAGGATTTGAAGATTTCCGAGGATCTTCAGAGGTCTCTGATTTTCGTTCATTTGGAACATTTGCGTCAATTTAAGTCGCCTTGATTTCAATTAATAAACACAAATGTTAATGTTATAACATTTTCTCTAATTAGCCCGTACAAATCACCTAAAAGTCATCTTGGTAGCCGTCAAAGAGACCGTAGCTCTGTGCTTAGCAAGCATGCCCACCCCCCCCCC